CGCATGCAAAATGCTCGCTTCGCGGCGGCCATTTCGCGTGCAAGTGAAGCCTACCACATTTCCCATGATGCTTAGCTATAATGGGAATTGCCTATTGACACTAGAGAAAACTCTCCAGTAAACATAATTTGCATTTGGTTAACCTGCATCTAAGGATGTAAAGCCTCATTAATATCATTAACGCGACAAAAGACACCCAAAATCACTGTTTCTTATTGGCTCTCACTATATGACCTATATGCAAAAACACGGCTAAACGCAAAATATTAAGATTCTATTGGCTGTTGCATTACGTGTTTTGTATGCTAAATATGTTGTCCTGAGTTATTCGTTTTGTAATTTGCATGGTCATAAAATACAGGGTGTCCCAAAAACCCCCGCAAAACCATTGAAATAACGTATTGTTAAAATTTGAATGCCCTAGCACTAAGCTGAACGCAAAGATGCGTAAAATATTGTCAAGGGTGCATATATTAAATATGGCTTATTAAGAAATTAAAATATCTTTAAAAGAAAAGATAAAGCGCACGATTTCCCGCTCTTGGGAATTTAAAACAGCTTCTTAAACGGTTTCTTATGCATAAAATCTACTTACGTCAAGCTTTGATGCACGTGTGACTTCAGCAGAGTGCTGAGGCATTCAAATTCTAACAATACATTTATTTCAATAGTTTTCGTTTTTTGGGGGGACACCCTGTATGCAGATAGTCATTTTGACAGATTATGCTAGGAAACCCACTGTTAATCTGCCCAATAGGATTTGTCTTTAGTATTACTACAAAGGACAATTTGTATAGATAGAAAACCTATACTCAAGCTGCGTGCCTGTAAAAATTGTAATTTCGCGAAGCATATTTCGTTCAGCTGGACAAATTAATTTTCGGGCTTGTCTTGCCACTCTTGGTCTTGGAGGCATGGCTCAAATTGTTTGTGTAGCACGCTTGCAGTCTGTACTGCAGAAGCTCACATATAATTAAGTTATGCGTATATGAACTAAGTCTAGTGGCATTAAAAATACTATATTTCCCAACGGTATGTACAAAATGTATGCGCTAAACTTTTGTATACTTAAACCACAGGGAAATTTCGTTACTAGTTATAGCTTACTCGCCGTTTTCAATTGCCTTTAATTAAGGCTTTAGCCTGAAAGGAGTGAACTAGTTACGACATTGAGTTGCATATGAGTTCGCTTGTATAGCTATCTATTCCATCATTCTTTTATTCTTTAATTGACGGTTCTGTTTATATATTCATGCAAATTAACCAAATTTGTTTCATGCAACGTGTAATGCGAATGGAACTTTGCCCTGCACAACAATGTTTGAACATTAATATGATGTACGTCGAATTGTGATATGTCCTTTTAAATCTTGTAGTCATTACTTCAATGCGGGATGATCTATACTTTTAAGATCAGTTTATAACTACATCATTATATATCTATATTTATATAATTATCTTCATCTGTCCATTTAACTGTAAAATCTACACTTATAGGTCGCGATTAGCACATATATCCTTTATGTAACCAATCAAATTTGATATTTTTATCTATGCAAATTTTATAACTGATTGTAAGCTCGTTTACGTCCTTAGATGCAGGTCAACTTTGTTAAAAACGTCAAGAAATAAATTTGTTTTAAAACTGAATTCTGTGTATGTAAATGTTTGCCTGCATAGCACACTCACGCCCGATTTTGAGGCCGATCCTAACGCCGGCGCATAAAATTTTCATAATTATCAGTTGACTTTGTGAAATTGAGTTGAACACATCAATATATACCATTATTGATTTCGCCGAAAAGATTGCTTGTGAGGGGCTCGAAACGGATCACAAAAAAGCTTATCAGAACTATTTAGAAAATAAACTACAAGAACAATTTAGTAAAGCAACGTTATAAACTGTAAATCATGTTCTTCAATAAATGTTGTTCTTAAAATGCTGTTTTTAAATAACACACACAAAAACAATATTCGTTCCACAAACATCGCTGTTAAAAAAATTAACTTTACAAGTAACTTTGATTAGCTTATAAACAATATTACGTAAACTTATAAAAAAGTGTCTCATAAGATAGTTCAAAATAGCCTGACTTCACAAAAGCTCAAACTCTGTCTCAGGTTCTTTAAAAAATCAAGAGTTACTTCATAACCTTTTATCAAGTTCTCATAATGTTCCTTTTACGCTCGTAATATTCCAATTTCAACGCACGAATAGCTTCGATAAATTGCTTCCTTAAAATTCCACGCTCAATCACACGCATCACCGCCTCTATAGACCGACCATGCAATATCCATCCTTCGACAGGCAACGTTAGACATTCGTGCCTACTTCGACTCGGATGATTGACTTTGCAGCCAGGACACTTTTCTCTAAGGAATTTTCGAACTTCATAGGCAACAGCTTCGGAAAATATCACGTTCCTCACCTCTGAGATGCGCGGAGATACATTCCTCACCTCTGATGGCGCATCTTCGTCCACGTGCAAGTAAATAATTTTTAACTTCCAACGAGGAAACACTCAGGGCACTCAACATATCACTTAAATGTTCCATCTCTACGCCAGGTTTATGACCTTTTTCAAATAATACCATAGGTCTCCCGAAAAGGTCTTTTATTTAAAAAAATCCATACAATTTGCTTTAAAATACAATGCTTTGACATGCAATGCTTCAATGTACAGTAAAACCTCTATAATTTGTATTACATGAAGTACGTGCAACATCACAATAGCGTTG